TGTGTGTGTGTGTGTGTATGTGTGTGTGTGTCTGTATGTGTGTGTCTGTATGTGTGTGTGTGTGTGTGTGTGTGTGTGTGTGTGTGTGTGTGTCTGTGTGTGACCGTGTGCCATTTGCACACACGCATACACAAGGTTGATGTTGACTGTCTTCCTCCATCACTCGACAACTTACATTTTGAGTCAGGATCTGTCACTGAACCTGACACTCACTGGTTTGGTCAGACTTGGCAGCCATTGAGCTCCAAGGATCCATCTGTCTCCCCAGTGCTAGGATTTCGGATGTGTGCCACCACCCCCGCTTTTTTTCACTATGGTCTTCATGCTTGCCTGGCAAGCTTGTTACTGACTGAGCCCATTCTCCAGCCTCCTTCTGGAGGTCTTTTTTAAGATTGAATTTTGTAGGTCTTTGTGGGTTGGTGGAAGGACATGGCTGGCTTAGAGTCACGGCCCAAATGCTTTCAGACTGCGGCAGGGCCCTTTTGCTGTCTTGGCATGCATGTGAATACCAGGAACTGTTGAGGCACTGCAAATGGCTGAACTCCGGGGAGGGTCTTGGCCACTGCTAGCTATCGTCCTCCATATCCGTCTACGGCCACAGAAGTCCACAAGGCTGTTAACTCACATATAATAACCCTTAAACACTGCCATTAACTCACCTCTCATTCCTGCAAACTGCCCAGGAAGGCTCTTGGCGTGATCGATGGCTGCTCTTAAGTCCGTACCCAGCTGCTCACGCACTCGGCCTGAAGCCCTGTGCGGCGTTGCATAAATAGACCCACAGTAGCATCGAAGTATGGTCTAGCTTCCATCCTGGGTCTGCCCCTAGGACTGTCATCCCTTGGACAAGGGACATTGGGGGTGGGACAGTAAGTCAAGAGCTGGATTTCTGGGTTCCCAGGTGTCACTGCAGCTGATTTATTCTCCAGGAGAGTCAGTGGCTTAATCCAGTCCTCTGTCTTTTCACTGTCCCTAGTCTCCCAAGTATGTGAGGAGTGTGGTTGGGCTGAGGAAAGAGTGACCACCTTTCAGGGTTCACATGTGAGGTGCCAAGCCCTCTACAGGGTGTCACAGAAAACCCTCAATTTTATATAACTGTCTGGGTTCTGACCATTCACAGACGGGAACTCTAGAACAGCCCCACCCTGTCACCAGCTTATAACAGGCTAGGATCCATAGATGCCATGGTTTCCTGTAGAAACCCAGGCTCTGGGCTGTCTGTGGAGTGGATGGTGCTGGTAGGTATGAGAACAAGATGGAGAGGTGAGCCGGGAAGGGAGCTGAGCGCTTGATTCGCTCTCTGGTTTGCAGTCAAGGGCACGGTGCTCACCCAGAAGCTGCACACACATCCACGCTGCACTTGGCAATGGACAGTGTTAATATTTAATGAGCTGCGATGGCTTCGGGGAACTGCTGTTTGCTCAGCAATTCACCCTCCCTGCTCCCTGGAGGCTTGGGTCCATGAAGGATCTCAATGGCCTGGAGAAGGCCCCAGGCTGAGGTCCCCTCCAGTAGGACTTAAAGCAGAGCCCGTCTGTGGAGCAGCTGTATTAGCCTGACATGAGTCATGGCTCCTGACCTTACATCAGGCCAGGGCGGGGAGAGAAGTCAAAAAGAACTTGCTGTGCTCAGGGACCACTATCTGCAGCGTCCACTAACATGGATGCTCCATGCTTAGCAGGATGGGTGTTCTCACTGGCTGGGGAACAAAAATACAGGAAAGAAATGGGGTATGGGTGTATGCCTGTGGTCCCAGCACAAAGGCTGAGATAGGAGGATGTTTGCAAGTTTGAGGCCAGCATGGAGCCCATGGCTATATCCATGGCTCAGTGGGTAGAGTTGTTACTGGGCATGCATGAGGCCCTAGGTTTGGTCCCCAACACTGTGTAAACAGAGTATAGTGGGGCACACATGTAATCTTAGCACCAGGGGGCTGAAGGCAGAAGGATCAAAAGTTCAGAGCCATCCTCCGCTACATAGTGAGTTTGAGGCCACTTTAGCTACATGAAACCCCATCTCAAAATAAATAAACAGATGCAAGATGAGCTGATGGCTGTTGTCCATGTGCTGTGTGCTTAGTGGAAAGAGTGTACTGTGTGTTTAGTGGGAATAATTTTCCAAGTAGGAGTTCCAGACAGCAGGGGGGAAATTGCAGCAGGTGACCTACACACTAGAGGGTTGGGGTACACAGTCAGACTTGCAAGTGTGAGGATTATGGGTGCTGGAGAGGGGTAGTGTAGGACCTCAAGCTGGGACCTGCCTGCCTGGTGGCCTTATCAATGATGAGCAATGGATAAGATGCAGCCTTGGGGGTCCTTTCCTGGGCCACAGGATACACTGATGGGGACAAGAGAGGAGGCCCCAATGGAAGGTAGAGCCTGGGGCCAGACATCCAGCTGAGGGATAGGGTTATAATCTCACAGGGGCCTGACTGTGAGTAGAGCGACTGCCAGTGCAGAGCAAAGCAGACTGCGGCTCCCACAAAGCACACTTGAACCGCACTGACGAGCCACAAGTGACTCATTTTGGATGGCACTGAGAGAGTGGCTCAATAGGTATAAAAATGCCCACTCTGGGGACTGGTGGGGTGGCTGAGAGGACTCAGGTTCATGTCTCAGCACCCACAACTCATCACTCCACCTCCCCTCCACCCCACAGCAAATGTCAGAGACTGTGTGTGAACCCACAGCGTCTGGCTCCAGAGCCCATACTTGATGTACCTGCCATGGCAGCCCTTCTGAAGGCTGAGGTGATCTTGTTGGTCTTTTCTGAGCAAACTTCCATCTGTCTGTGGTTCTCAGGGGCTACAAATTTGGAGCTCTTTAGTCAAATGTGTTCTTGGGTTCAGAGAACAGGCAGGTCAGAGCAGGTCAGCACCACCAGGAAGGACTTCCTGGGGCAAGTCAGAGCATGTCAGCACCACCAGGAAGGACTTCCTGCCCCATGTGGTCGGGTCAATGCAAGGGACAGGGAAGGAAGGGACGCAGACTGGAGGCAGGCCACAGGTATGGAAAGCGCCAGAGAAGCAGCTGCTCAAGCCTTTTGGGGAAGGCTCTGTGTGGGACAAGGGTCGAGGCAGTGACGGTGACAAATGGAATGGAGGTCCCATCTGAGAAGTCTGGGGAGACAAGATTCCCTGTCTTTCCTAGAACTACCTCAGAATCACTGAGCTCCATCTGAGGTCAAAGAGTCAGGCCCCACAGGGAGCACTCCCATCATCCCCCAGGATTTAGTTGTGATTGGCTGAAGGCTAAGACAATTTCCTCTGTCTGTGATTGGTTGCAGCATGAGCATAGGTCATAGTTTTAGCCAGTGGCAGGAGTTCTGCAAGGGAGCTTGGAGACACCTGGGGGCCCTCTTCTTCTCTGAACCGGGTTGTATCTTCTGTGTCCAGTCAATGGCTGGAACCACAGCAGCCATCTTGCAGCTATGAGGTGAAGTAGGCTTACAGGCAGAGGGAGGCAGGAAAAAATGACAGATAAGACAGGAATCTTGAGGAGGGCCTGGGCTAGTGAATAAATCAGTTCTAGAGTTCCCCGAGCTCAGAAGTGCTGATGTAAGGTAATTTCCAGCATTGCTTAAGACATTGTCAAACCCCTGTTGGGGTTTCCTGTTACCTGAACAAGAAGTAGTTACCTTAAACCTTGCATTAATTAAAGTTTATTAAGCATTGATTATTCCTGGAGAGAGTCACAGATGTATTTCACCTCACAGCAGCATAGCAAAAAGTACTTGGCTTGTCTCAGTCAGTCTGGGATGGCTTCACAAAGACCTCGGTCTGGGGCTCAGCCACAGGGATCTGGAAGTCTGGCAAGCTTGTTCCTGTGGTTCTTCTCTCTCCCCGCCCCTCTCTCTCTCTCTCTCTCTCTCTCTCTCTCTCTC